ATGGTGTAATGAGCACAGGTTTTTGAATATTATCAGGATGAATAAGAATTTGATGTTAAATTCGAAGAATATTGAGGTGAGAAAAGATTATGCAACCTGGTAAATGTTCACGTAAGTCGTGGATATGCGGTATAGAGGTAACAATCTGGGACCGTCACGTTAGTTAGTGCACGATAGTCACCGCAAGACCTCCAACCAATTGCGGATTTTTGGTATCATATGGAGTGATGAAGCCCATATACTATGACACGGTCGAATGATTCCTGCTTGAAGCAAATGTTGAAATTTCTGCATATCGAGATGGACGTGAAAAAACCGGTGAGCCACGGGTATTTATGTGATGAAAAACAGTGTGCTTTGGATTTGGTTCGTGGAAATTGGGCCTTTGCAGTTCCGGAAACTCGCGAAGCAACACATGAACTGGTGCAGTCGAGTGTGGAAAATGTCAGTGGACATATTGATGGGGGTGTCTTGGATTGTCCCTTAGCGTATAGATGTGTTTTAGCATCAAGTAATGATTGGCGTCTAGGGTCCACCCACAGATTAAAGTGCGTGAGAAAAGCTGCACCCAAAATCGGTTGATGGAGGTCAGCAACAATGAACATCTACGGAAATTCTCAGCGTAGGCCGAGGTTAAGTGTTAACAATCGTGGCTCATAACTTTGAATCACCGTTTCCTTCGCTGCTCTCAGGCCAAGCGATGAGGGTGAAGCTTTAAAACGAGGCAGATGTTGTCGGGATGACGCTAATGTCTGCCCCAAAGTCAACGAGGAATCGGAGAACCGGATTTCTACCCAGAATAAGCAAACGATGTATGGTAGGAGGTGATGGCCTTGGACATTGCTCGACTCTACTGTCCGGCCTATTTTTTCCCGTTGGTGACGCCGATGAACGGATAGTCGATAGGAATGAGCAGGCTGATGTGCGTTTACGGGCGAGATGACTGAACGCCTCACGGTATCAACAGTACTCTGACTGCCGCTGTGAGGAGCCTGAGCGGAAGGGTGAGCGCGCGCGTGAATGATTTTGGAAACGACGGTATGGAGCATGGCTAAGATGTGGCCTTGCGATTTGTTGAGCTAAGTCGTCAAGACGAGAGTTGATGGCAGGATGTGCAGAAGAAAGATCAACAGTGTTTACGTTGTAGAACTAGGTTGAATCTCTAGAATCCTGTCCGTTATGTTCGCCAGTTCAGATAATGGAACGTTCTCAGTAGTTGCTGTGAGAATAGCCTGAACATGAGTGGGTAATTGTTTGAGGAATAGCTGTCTGAGCACTACGTTATCTATTTGTCGATCACCAAGAAGGTTGTAGAGACGATGTAAGAAATGTGATTGTGTTTAACCGTCTAGTGACTCACTACTGAATACCTGTTCAAGCCTTTTACTGTCTAATAATGTGGTACGAGAGATTATTGTATCTTATGGTTGTGTGTATTGCCTGCTGTTATCGGGTGACGACAAAAGATCGCACATCCGCTGCTATTTCTGGGGGAAGAACAGTCAGCTTATGATAATATATCGTGTGTTCTTAATTGATGCCCCGTAAGGCGAACTGTAACAGACTTGAGTGAATCAAATCTTAGGGTCATGATACCAGAACGGAGATAACTGGACAGTTGCAGTATTAATGTAAGACTGGGGAGCCAATGAGTGTAGTAGTTGCGATTGTGCTGCGTCAGTCAGAAGTGAAGTACGCGATGAGCAGAACAATATAAAAGGAGAGGTCACCAACTTATTAGCGCGGTTTATGTATGTGATGTGATTAGAAGGAAGACGCTAATAATACTAAGATGTGTATAAACGGTGTGTGTAGTTCGTATACAAAAAATTTGATAACCAAACACAACAAGAACAAGATGAGGTCTACTTATCTATTGTTTACTGGGTAGTCCGTTGTTTAGACAAAGCCTGTGTTTCGGTGCACTTTTGTCCCACACAGAAAACCTTGATAATGTTGTGGGATAAATGCATGAGGGCACATACGAATACGAGCGATTGTGTTTGATTTCTAATTTTACAGTCTATTTTTGAACTTTGAGCGATCGTGGACGTGTGAATTGTTGTCAGTTTGTGTGGCCAAAGCCGATAGTCCACTGATCGATTGGCATTTCCAACGCTCATCGGCAATTTTGGCGAGGCCACTACAGCAAACAAACGGACGAAAGTTTATCAAACACCAACAACATCATCGCGTCTGCTCCCGAACTTTTGGTATCCGCTTTTCATAGTGCAGAGTCCTACGCGTGTTCCGTGCCAAGAGGTCTCGCTGCATTCTTTGGACGCACCCTGTACAAATTTCAGAGACTGTCTCAGATGGGCCTAACATTCCTACCGCGACGATGCAATAACGCTTTGACGAGGTTAGCCTCATGAAATAATGCTGAAAATACTTGCTTGGCAACTATAGGCTTTCCAATCTTACAATTTCTGAGCAAATGCTCAGAGAAGCATTTTAGAAGACAAATATAAGCGCATTTATTTGCTCATAATTTGACTGGAGCGGTCCACTTGGCTTCGTCATGAAGAATTTATACTCTACCAAGCAGTTCTTCTGAGACGAACTAACGCGGTTCGCTGTTCCGACCTAAGCAAGTGTTTGCTTCGGCCGAAGTATAGTTGCGTACTGCAAAAGCTGAGATATTTTGGATCGCATCCCCGAATGTGAACTTTAATAGCAAAATTTCTTTGCAGACTCAACCATCGGCACCGCGGTTTGTAAACGACTTGGTCCTTCTAAAAGGTTCTTGTTATATTTTTGCCAATGATCTGAAGCCCGTCAAACGGGGTGATCGAGACACGTTGATTAAAGAACTTTACACTGTTGCAAAATGTCAGTCTTATGAGATTTGCTTCCTAACACCGACAAATATCGGCAGCTGACTTCAAGTAGTGGGACTACAGTTCGAAATTATACCGTACCTCCGTCTCTGCAACGGTTCGATGAAGCGCGCTACTTAGGTCTACTTTAGACGAATAGCTTCAAGTCTTCAGGACAATGTAACCATTGTGTCGAATGCGCAGCAGGAGTTATTCCACCTCAAATGAGGCACATGTAGTATAAATCGGAAATTTGTTTGAAGTGAAATTCATTGTATTGCGTGCGCAGAATAATGTCAGGTTGCCCAGGCCTAAACAGGAGAACGATTAGGGTTCTCAACCAAAGCCTTTGGTTAAAAAACGTGACCGCAAGGCAGCGGGTTTGTCACTGGGCTACAAGGAGTCCGTTTTAAGGAATAAGGGGCCACCCTCATTCCAACTCCCAACCTGGAGGACCAGGAGGCTGAGTTTGTCTGGCCTCTAACCATTGATCAATCTGGTATGAGTGACTCTGAAGGTGAAAAAATACACCACCCAGTATAGCTCAATGGATCACAGAGGCACACAAACCATCGCACCACGGTAAGTTCCAGCCTCATTGCGATGGAGTCCAGCCTCATTGCGTCTCGGCTCCCTGGTTGGGGTCCGAAAGACGATGAACACGTTTGGTTGGACACGCTTTCTGATATGGCTAGAAGCCAACCTCAGTGGCGTTCGTGCTGTGTTTCTTTGTCCCACCCCATCCCTCTTAGCCTCCCCCTCCAACCACGATCTCATTATTTAACCTTATATAATTCTGCATAGTAATTTTTTAATGCATAGTAGCTGGCTGTTAGCTTACCGGAACGATGTCCATCCGTTACCGGTAGCTCAGCCGGCTTGCCCCAGTTGAATTCTTTTTTCTCTCCTTTTTCCTATGTATTGCGGCACAGTAGTTGAGGTGTTCCCCACATCTAGCTAACGTGGATGATGATGATGATAAGTATAAATCGGAGGTTTTCCTTCCCTTATACAAAGCCGAAATCAACAGGTGACCGAAATGATTACGCGCTTGTCTGGCAATATAGAGATGACCGGTTCGAATCCGAGTAGGTTTGGGCGACCTCTCGGTTGAAATAGCCCATGTTCGACCGGCGACATTAAGGTGCCAGCGAAGTGTCGTATGGCGTGCCGGCTACCGCTGATGCCTTTGCTTAATACAAAGCGGTAGTACGACTTCACTGGGAATACGGTGCGCAGGATTGTACGCCGTATCGCGGAAGACAAAGGCCAAATAGGCGTCATCAGTAAGCCGGTACCTCTCACGAAGTTTCGTTGTCAAGCGACCACCACCAGCCACAAGTGGAATGAAGATACAGCGCGGTTGTTCTCATCTATGTGGATTCAAACCTGCATCGACAGCGCAGGCGTGCAATCCTTTAGCCACCGGCCGTGAGAATGCTGCCTGTATAGAAATGTGCAAAATTGTCGACTAAGATGGTTGATAACCAAAGTGAAAATTCATACGATAAACTTCTATGTTAGAAGTGTTTCCCACGGAACGTCACAAATTGAGAGGGGACCTAGTAGAGATGTTCAAGTTTATGGATCACTTACTTCGTATCGGGCCTACTAATCAGCCACCTGTAGTGATATTAAATGTAGCTCATCTAGCATAGACCCAGGCTACATATTAGGGGAAAATTCTTCGCAAAGCGTGTAAGTCGTAGTTTAAACAAGCTTACTCTTCCGTAGCAGATTATGGCGCTGTACGAAATAAATACTAATGTGTCAGCTGTGCGACATAACGTAGCTTCGCTGCGGTGCGACCATCATCAGTCGCGCGCGGACTGAGTATACCCTGAGGACGCCCACCTCTACACGGATTCGAATCGGGGACCTTATGGTTGTAAACCAGACCATTCGGCCAACGGTCACTGTAAAGGCCTTCGAAATAGTCCTAGATTGCTGTTGAGTTTGCATTTCGAAATTATCGTAAATCCATTGAACGTTGTCGCTGAGAACTTTGATGAATAAAGTGTGATAGTGCTTTTAGACAAAAGCAAGTGAAGTCAAGTGGACATCCAAATACCGTTGGCTCTAACTTATTTGCCTGTGCAAGGAATATGTCGACTGTTAGATGGAAGCCTGAATGGTCCCCGGAACGCGATCTGGCCTGATCTGACCAGTTGTAATACAAAGTAACGAGGATACGGTTACATGAATCCTAGTGTGCCGACAACACTTTCCCAACTTCCAACGCACCAATAAATGCTTCACTCTGGTACAGGTTCTTATTGTACTTTGGAACGCCTAAATGAGTAAGGTGCTCATTCAAATTCACCTACACATTGTTCCATTGGAGAATAAACTAGTCTATTCGGTACATCACGGTTCACTGGACAGAATCTCCTCGGTTTCGTCCGCGCTGGGAAGTATGCGCGTTTCGCCACATGTTTGTTGGTCAGTTGGTGCGATTGGGCGGGGAGAGCGTAGTTCGTTTGTATCAAGCAGCCGTTCTTCATGCCTGAACTCAGTTGCTTCAGGAACTGCCAGGATGTTGTTTGCATTTTTACATTTCCGAGTTACCTTTATCTTCTTTGAAGGAATCTTCTTCTTCTGTCTATCAGGTGTTACCGGAAGTGACTTTCGTAAGTACTCTTGTTCCAACGCCAGAGTCAAACAATCTGGTCGGTAGCACTTAAACCTTGCCGACTTCAAGGGTCTAGGCCTTAAACGATTCACCCACGATGCAGAGACCGTCGACCTTGAAGTAAACTGTTTCTTATGAGAAGGGGACGTACAGGGACTAGTTCTGGCAGCAAGTGCTCGAAGCATCTTGTTTCGAAAAGATGACGAAGAGGCCCTGCTTCGTTTTCTTTTTCTTTTCGGTAATTTCACTGACAGTCTTTTCTCGGCGCGCGGTTTTGCAATTTTACCACTTTTCCGAAAGCCGGATTTTTTACCTGGTGTCTTGTGCTTTGGAAAGTCCGAAGAATGTGTTGAGATGTCCAAGTCACTGCGGCACTGTGGGGATTGGGTTTTGGAGCAGATCTCGGATTTCTTCTTCGACCGCCGCACTACTTTCGTCCAACGCCTAAAGCCCGCCGGAAGGGACTCGATACTTGCACGTTTCTTCTTGCAACTCGGTGAACGCGGACTTCCGCTGCTGGCCCTTGGCTTCTTAGTACTCTTTCTAGACGGACTGCGGCGGACTTTTGACGGGGAGGGGGTTCGTTGCTTTATTATAGGAGAAACTGGACGCTTTTTATCAAGACTTTTCGAAGTGGAGCGTTTCCGTTTCTTCGGACTAGTGGACTTGAAATGCACAGCTTTTGATTTCGGACGGGTCGGTTTCTTATTAGGTGCTGCTTTTCGGTCCTGCGAATGTGTATGTATTGGGGACTCCACAACTGTCAGACAACTTTCCGACTTTGATGGTGTAACATTGTGCACATTTTGTTGGGATGTATACTCACTAGAATTCATTCGACCGTTTCTGGCACCCGTTGCGCTGGTTCAACAGACTACTTCTAGGTTGGTCAAAAGTTTAGTGATTCGAATGTTGCCCAGTATCGATCCATCGTTTGTTGATCAATCCCCGAGAGACCGGCGAAAGTATTGGTTCACTATTTTACATAAGCGTAGAGTCAGATTCATAATGTGCATGCGTAACATTGCCAGATTGTTTCAAATGACTTTTCGGTGCGTTTGAAGAGAACATTTTCAAAGTTCCACCCAGCACGGATGGAATAACTACGACTGACAAACGGGTATGTGGGTCAAGGTCATCATTCGCCACATGTATGGATGTATGTATGTATGTATTGAATGTGCCCCATGCTGAGGCTGATGTTGCATTCTTGATGCTTCTTCACCGCAGTTGGGCTAAACCAACTTACACTTAAACTAGGTCTTTTTAAGCTGGCTAAATTTCATTCCGCTTTATTTGGTTTGTTCTGCCTCCCTGAATAATGTTCTATTAAGTGGCCACGTTGCTTACACTAATTGCGCTTATTTTCGGTAATTTTGTTGCGTTTGTAGCATTTCAAGTAACTTGTGGACATTTCTTACTTATCACGGATTTGTTGCTAACCAACTTACTCCATATGGTAATTTAGCGAAGAGTTATGCCACCGTATCTGTATGCATTGTTGGATTTATTTTATTTCAGCTTGTCGCTTAAAGTGAATGGCTGTTGTTTGATGTCCCCGGTGTGGTTGCGCTTGATGTGTATGTTGACAAGATGCCTACCTGTCTATTACCCACTACATCGTTCATACTGGCTCCAGGAGACAGTTGGTCGTTGCTGGAGGGGACGGGGTGCACGGTTCTTGTGGCCGTGCTAGGCTCAAAGAGCGGTTCCATGCACTCAGTGTGGAGCGGACTACGGTCCAGCCACCGCCTTGTGTGCGGTTGATTCCCCAAATACAGCGTGCTTGTGTTTGCCTGTGAAGGAGTGTGGGCCGGCTCCGTTGATGAAACGTGGTTCCCATCCGCATGCCTCCCGGTCTTATTCCTTCGGGTTTACACTGGATATGGGGTATGTGGTTGGAGCTGTGGGTGGTGCAGCGCAAGCCATCCATGGTCCCTCTGTAGGCGCAGGCGTCCTGTGGCTTGCCTCAGTGACAGGCAAATCCGAAACCGGATGCCGCCAACCATGTATTGAATGAACGAATAACAGGCATATTCCTCTAGTTTTTTTGTAAATCGCACGTAGAATTATAAGTAACCACTAGGACTGT